TAGGATACTCTAGGATTCTCTAGGATACTCTAGGATACTCTAGGATACTCTAGGATACTCTAGAATACTCTAGAATACTCTAGGATACTTTAGGATACTCTAGAATACTCTAGGATACTCTAGGATACTGTAGGATACTCTAGGATACTGTAGGATACTCTAGGATACTCTAGGATGCTCTAGGATACTCTAGGATACTCTAGGATACTCTAGGATACTCTAGGATACTCTAGGATACTCTAGGATACTCAAGGATACTCTAGGATACTCTGGATTTCTTTATATAAATTCAGGATACTCCAGAAAAATGTTAAATCCTTGATATACTATTAGACGTTCTTGGATACTCCAGGTGCTTTTGAAAGCTCTATATACTCCATGTTACTCCTGGAAGCTTTAAATGATCAATTATTTTGCAGCCAGGACTAGGAGAGATAATGAAAGCTGAGATAGGTTTACGACATTCTTTCTTCTGTGACGGAGTTTCGTTTAAGCAATTTTCTCCAGGTTATAAATATGCTTTACCCCCCCCCCCCATGTTCGCATTTAATTCCTCCGCCCCTTATATTCCTCTATCTTCTATCTTTCTTATGTTTCCTTTAGACCCTTCCATTTCAAAGTTTCGTCTGAGCTCTTTCAACCTATTTTTTAGACTCATGTCTGTCAATTTTATGCAAAACATCATGACCTATCTCATCCATCCCATTAATCTACCCCTTTCATCTGGCCCTAACTACAATTGTGAAATTTTTTCATCACTATATTTCGCATTTTCCCTTAGTCACCATTTTTTTCAAGAAATTTAAAATCTTCACCATCATTTCTTGCAGATATTAACAGGATATTCATTGTGAATCTAATATGACACTTTTACATGGAGGGTCCTTAGAAACTAAGTCAAAGATCGATCCCATTAATTTTGTATCAATTCACAGTTAATTTTCTTTATATTGAATACAATTTCAGTTGCTTAGTATATAATTGTTTAAGTGCCAGGGGGCCGGGGGGTATATTAAACAAGAAAATGCCCCCCCCCCCTCCTGTCTTTTATTATATCCAAGAATATTAGATCTTTATATATGAGTAATAAAGCGGTGACTATTATATGAATAAGTTGGCTGGTGGAAGACACTGTTTCACTGGAATTATGGCAGAAACAATTATCTAGGATCTAGAGAACATGGAAACCATCTGACAGGGCAGGATATAATACGGGGAAATTATATTCAATTTATTCATCGGGAGAATAATAAATCTAGAATATGTTTATTATACAGTGAAAAGATCATTTTAATATACATAGATGAATAATTATATTGATACAACGAAGAAAGGAGATTAGCAATAGAAAAGAAATACTATGACAGTTCACTGTAAACATTCAAATAAAGTTTGCGATATAGTGAATGCAATGTGAGATATTGTGAACAAACGAATGTTGTGCGATAATGTTCTTTAAAATTCATTTTCTCTCAAACTTGAACTGACTGAAAGTGACCCTCCATGGACAGATGGGGATGTCCTATTGACAACGGTACCCTTAAACGCTGTGTCTGAATGAATTAGATATCACTGTTTCTAACTCTAAAAACTGATTATTTTCCACTGTGGTTTCTCTACAAAAGTGATTTGTGCATTCTTACTGCAGGAATTATCATAAATAAATACTTTTTAACCAAGAAAAACGACAATATCTTCCACAATCTTGATCAGATAAAGGTTTCAAGGGTTCTGTTAAAAATCGGAAATTTCCATCTTTCCAAAGAGGGTTCACTTCAAGTTACGCTAACAGTCCCTTTCATTTCAAAAGATAAAGCCTAAACATTTTCCTTTTCAAAAACTGTTTTCCAATTCTGTTAAATAAATCTGAGAACAGCAAAGGTCGGATTTAATAAATATCGAGAAGTAGCTAAACTAGAACAACTTCTTCCTTAGTGGTTCAACAAGCCATACCTGTTTCAAGTACTTATTTCTTTTCAGTAGATTCGAACTCAGAGCTTCTTTAGTCTAAAATAAAAAAAATAATGTTATTTATCAAATTTAGGATAATTAAAGTTAGTAAATATATAACTGAAGTCTGTAGAATGACGAATAATACGTATTTAAAAGAATGGCTGAATGATTGAATGATTACATGGTGTTTATTTAATTAGATTAACTGTTACTAAACTAAAGAATGTCTCCATCTGTCATATATACCCTATCTGTATGTATGCTTCATATATTCAATACAATCAGCTTTAAATAATTAAATATTTATTCAACCTATAAAGAGAATGCAGATTCTTTAAAATTGTCAATCTCAGAATACAGGGTGAGCCATGTCGCATTGAATTTTCCTCAGATTCTGTAAACTTGTCAATCTCAGAATACAGGGTGAGCCATGTCATTTCAGATTTCAGATTTCAGATTTCAGATTTCAGATTTCAGATTTCAGATTTCAAATTTCAGATTTCAGATTTCATATTTCAGATTTCAGATTTCAGATTTCAGATTTCAGATTTCAGTGTCGTTTTTCTGACCTGTACTTTCCACGGTAAACAAGAGGTTCTGGTTAAAAGTCCAATGAGCCTTACAATAAATGTAAATTTTTTTTCTATTGGAATTTTTAAAATCTTTTTTTGGGCTATGTTATTTGAATATTTAAGTTTATATTATTGACGGGTTTGGAATAAGAGATAGAAATATGATTGAAAATATTCCGATACAGGCAGTATGCACTTCGGCGTTGTTAGTTTTACGTGGGCACAATATTGTATAATTTGCCACAGTTAATCCTAATTGCTACAATAAGTAAGCTTAGTAAACCAAAATTTAGTATTACCAACATTTTGTTAAAAATGTGAAGAAAAAAAATATAGGAAAGTTCATAATTCTAAAATCACTATTAATTTAGGCTTCCAAGTTAAAAGTTGGAAGGCTAATAAAAAAGTAATAATATTATAAATGAAAAAATTACAAGAAAATATTAATCGTGGGTTTCCTAAAAAGTTTTTTTAACAATATGACTAGATTTTTACTTAGACAAGGTGTGTGCAGTGCGCATACATGATACATGTGTAGATCAAAATATATTTGTAGATAATCATTGGAGAAATATTCATAATGTGTGGAGATATATAAATATTTTAAAGGTATTTCTAGTTAGTAAAGAATCTTCAAAGGTGCAGCTGTCTTAGGTTAACTAGGGGGGAGGGGAGGACAAGTAAAATGAGGGGGGAGGGGGTTAAGTAGAATGAGGGGAGGGGAGAGGGGAAGTTAGGGATGTGTTGAATCCCCTGGGAGGGTCTTGAGGTCAAACTAGAATTTATCATTAAGATGATTAGAGACCTGGAGAGATGAGAGAGTAGAGAGGGTTGGAGTTTTTTATTTCTCCAGGTCCAATCAGAACTGGAGATTTATTTCAGTGCAATAATCATACTTGAAAACTTATAACTCCATTTTGACTAGTTTCACAGTGGTTTTTTGGGTTTAATTATTTAAATTATTTCAATAAAAAAAATATTCAATATAATATTAATAAATATGATTATAGAAAGTACCTTGAACTTTTTTGAAGTTCCAAAAAAAAGTAGGAAGTAGGTTTTTAAGAAACTAAAAACAATATAGTTCTGGATTTTATCCTAATTTTACGGCCCACCCTTTTATTCCTAAACAACAAAGTAACCCTCTGGGTGGGACAGACTGGTTAGTAAAAAATAAAATATAAATGTTAAATTTTTGTTTAAATCGGTGGACACAAATGTAACAAAATCCAATAAATTAAATTTTTCTATAAAGTTACATATTTATCGTCTTTATTTTTTCTCAAGTAGACCTGTAAAACCTGGAGAAATATAAGACTAATGACTCTATGAGCAGGATGTACCAGGAGAAGAACTAATCCCTGAACCCTGATAACAGAACGGATAAAGATCTTCTCAATACAACTGGAAAATAAAGATCTTCTGTACATTCTTCATTCATCATTTTAACTCAGATATAATATGCAAAGTTCCCTGATGATTTTTTTTTGGTGTTTTCGATCCTGCGAACGAAGAAAGTTTCCAGGGGTTATTTTAGCATTTTTCCTATTTGGTTCCCATCCCAAAAGAGAACTGCATACCCACTTGCTCAGAGGGGTCTTCTTTATTGTTTTGTCTCATTTAGTGAATGCAATGTGAGATATTGTGAACAAACGAATGTTGTGCGATAATGTTCTTTAAAATTCATTTTCTGTATCAAATTTTCCTCAGATTCTGTAAACTTGTCAATCTCAGAATACAGGGTGAGCCATGTCGCATTGAAGTTTTCCTCAGATTCTTTAAACTTGTTAATCTCAGAATACAGGGTGAGCCATGTCGTATTGAATTTTTTTCAGAATCTTTAAACTTGTCAATCTCAGAGTACAAGGTGAGCCATGTCGCATTGAAATTTCCTCCGTTTCTTTAAAATTTTCAATCTCAGAATTCAAGGTGA